TCCCCTGCCCACACTCAACCTTGTCCATTCAAATACAGCCTTCCCGTACCCCCGCGGGTAACACGTACAGCCTCGTGAAATTTTTTTACGGGTAAATTATTATCTCGGGAACCACGGGGTTAAGGAAGCTGAAATTTTAGGGCAATGACCCCCTGTCCACTCTCAAATTTGCCTATTCATGTTCAGCGTTCCCGCGCTCTCGAGAATCACCTACGGGCTTGTGAGAATTTTGACGGTTAAACTATTAACTTAGGAATCACGGAAAGATATTCACCCCTCAAGGTTTCGAAATCAGGTTTCATGCGCTGGTGCGTGAAATTTTTAACTATTTTCCTATGTTTCAACTATTTTTGCATAAACGAAAGTACAAAGCAGTGAAAATCATTAATAGGCAATCGTTCGATGGGCTGAATTGCACAGAACGCATGATCTCACCGGGGAGTCTGGTGCATGTTGCTATGTATTTGATTTGCAATCATTTTGCACTTAAGTTTAGCTTCTTCTGCTTTTCTTTTATAGCGTAGCACGGTCTAGTTAAAATTGGTTCTATCGGAGTGAATTTTTTCATGTTTTTCACCTTGTGTTTTGTCTCGATGCAGCATTATTCACTTTGTTATTTTAATTATCGCTCATCGTTTCATTATAGCGTCAACAGTGCAGCTGACATCCCTTTCGTACTTGCTTTCTTTGTGATAAAGTATCAGGTTTTATGAGGAGGTAGCAGGAATTTTCGTTATGACAAAAAAAAAATTTTTTTTGCAGGACTTCTTAAGTTACTGCATGTTTCAACACAGATCCCCGAGCAGTGTGAGTATCCGGTCACTGCTGAAACACGGCAGCACTTAGCCGTGTGCTTGGCTCGACTCTACGACGACATGGTTTTTGATACACGCCGGCAGATGTTCAAAGAACGAGTGGATGCCTTCTTTAAGTTCGATTCCGTTTTTTCATCCACTTTTGATGAGCCGCTTGCCCGTATGTAGTTGCCTGCTTCTTCTTTTGTCTTTCCCCTTATTGTATGCTTTCAGATATTCGTGGTTCTTAAGTATGAGCGCTTGAAAGTCTTGACGCAAAAGTTTCTCACTGAACAACTAGGTTACAACATTGAATTTGTGGACAAATAATTTTCTTTAAAGCCTCAAAAATCCTTGGCTTTCTTCCAGTACTTTATCCCTGTTTCTCTTATTTTCTCCTTACCGATGGGCAAATGAATTTTTTCGCTATCGCATTGATACCACTTTTACATACTGGCCAACTCTTTTCATTTCTGAAGAGTGCTGGGGCTGAATGTGGTTGTGCAATCAAATTTGTGCAGCTTAACTAAATTTTAACAAAAACTTTCTAGCTTTCATGTATTTTCATGTAAACTTTCTTTGCTTAGCACAAGAATAACCCGAGGAATGCATTTGTAACCACTGGTGTTGCAGTGGCGATTGCAAGAGAAAACAGCTTATTATAAGAGCACATAACACGCATATAATGCTGAATTTACCCTTAGAAAAACAAAGGGAGAGAGGATTGTATTATTAATTTGATGTCAGAATGAACTGATTGAGAGGAAAGATATAGTAGGAGGATTTTTTTGCATATTAAAGTAAATCCCGGTATTGAGTTTATCGCGTTTTAAGAGAGCCGGGAATGCTGTTTACTGACTTCAAAAGTGCTGAAAATAAGCAGCACATAAAAATTGCCATTTTGGCTGAAATTAGTTCTTATGGTCGCATTTCTAAGTGTAACTTGTGGAGGAGTTTTTATAAACATTTTTTTGACTTTAGCAGAAAGAGTAATAATCTTTGTGAAGTTGCACTGTATCTTTGGCCTGCTTATTTATACATTTTTCAGTATTTTGTTAAACGATCTCAGCAAAAACGAAGTGAAAGTGAAAATGGCATGCATGCTGATCACATTGTTACAGGTTGTTGCTTCTTCTTGGGCATCGAATTTTGCTTGAAATACCAAAATCGGTCAATTCATCTCAGTAATATTTATATTATTTTTACTTTTTAAATTCACCGCTCAGACCATTCTCCTAAAAATTTCATTGTATGCTCTCAGGTTTTTGCATTTGCCAGTCCTGGAGTTTTTACAAAGCTATTTTCCATAGTTTTTTTGGTTGCCTAGATTTTATGCGTTTTTGCATCAACGACTTAAGGCGAAAATGATTATTTTCAGGCTCTGTACGTATGTATGTATGTATGTATGTATGTATGTATGTATGTATGTATGTATGTATGTATGTA